AATTACATCATTCATCACTCAATTATGTTCTCACTCATATTTTGGATTCTAAAATTTATTTTTTAATTTAATTATATAACTTTCATAGTACACCTAATTTAATCACTCTAACTTTTAAATTATATATTAATAAAATAATAATGAAAAATGTCATGTTAAAAAATTATTAATAAAATAAATTAGAGTGCTTAAAATAGGAGCAATTTGAAAGTTCAATAATTAAATTTAAAATTTTTAAACTTTAGTACCAAAATAGGAGTAAGAAGATACTTGAGGGATGAATGATAATTTACCCATAAAAATGTTGTGTCCTTATGTTGTTAAAATGAAACAAAAAATACATTTCAGATATGATTTGAAAAAAAATTAAAAGTTTAAGTATTAAAATGGACCAAAATTGATAGTTTAGGTACTAAACACGTAATTTATCGTATAATGAAAAACCTAAATTTTATATTGATAAGAAGGATTTTTATTTTTGTGTAAAATTCAGGTACGTAGAATGCACATCATCTGTCATGCAGGCACTAGCTCTTGCCACAAAATTATACCCAGAACATAGAACAAAAGATATTGACAATTGCATAAAAAAGCTGAAAAGTTCCTTGAAGACACACAATACCTTGATGGTTCTTGGTAATGAATTAAAGAGCTTTTATGATTTTTTTAACAGTTTGTAGTGATTAGAAGAAGGTTGTATTCGTTTGTAATATCTTTTCATCATTGACAATGCATGCATCATGTTCGAATCCGATACCTCTAATGAGAGCATTCCCTATATGAATTTTTCACTCAAAACATTAATTTGGTGGGTTTTCACCATAATGACAAGCATATATAATTCCCACATATGCATCATAGATATGGAAGTTGGGGACTTTACTTTTTTTACGGCACATGATTTGCACTGCTAGGCCTTTAGGATCCTTGGAAGAACTACAAAAACTGCTTCGCCATTCGTAAAAGAGTTGGTTTTTGCTTAAAACACAAAGAGAAGATGGCAGTTGGGGAGAGAGTTATCTTTCTAATCCCGTTGACGATAGTATTAGGTGCTTGGATTTTATTAGAAATGATGATCCTAGGCATACCCAATCTCTTTCCATTAGTAAAAGATTATTGGAGAATCCGACTGCATATTCATTTTCACTCAATTATGACGACGAGGTGTTTTTGTCTAAGTCTCCTGTTAGGGTTAACTCTGTTTACTCAAGTGAAAAAGAGTTGTCCTCTAGAAAAAAAAAGAAAATAAAGAAGCAGAAATTTGGCTCCCTTTTGGATATTCAGGACAAAATACTATCGAAAGCTGAGAAAAAAAGAAGAGATCGAGCGTGGAAGAGATTCAATCTGTTTTGAAGAAAAGGTGGGCTGCTGCTTGTGTAGAATCGAGGGAGAAACTGCCTTTAGTTTCCTTGCCAAATTTATAGGATTTTCGTTTTTTTAATTAATAGGGGGATGAGATTTGTGTGCTGGGAGGAAGATTGATGAAGTCATGGTGATATGTTAGTGTTTTAGCAGGTTTGGTGATCACGGTTTCTGCTGTTGTTTGGATGCTTTAGCGTTTCTGGTTGGTCGTTCTGGAGCTGTTGGATTGCAGATTGGAGTTTTGGTCGATCTTTTGTGGCCACTGTAGCTCCATTAATTTCCATGATTTAGTTTGAAGTACGCAGGCTTATTAAGTCGAATTTGTTGAGTTCCGCTTTGATGTCTTTCCGAATGTGGTTATGTGGCTAGTTGTTTTGCTACTCTTTCTTATGTGTTTTTCTCGGCTGGTTTCTGTTACTGTGTGTAGTTATTTTTATAACAGCAGGTTAGATGTTTCCTTGTATTCTCCTGTATCTCAAGAAGTGTTGTATCTCAGGAGTTAGTTTCTGGCTTTCTGTTCTTTCCACCTCATGGTTCACTCTTTTTCCTCCAGTAGGTTTAGGGAGGTTTTTGAATGAGCTCTGTGGGGTGATGTACCTTGTATCCTTATGAATACAAAGTACCCATCTTTCAAAAAAAAACATACCTTATTATTCATTCGGTATAATAACAAAATTACTCCCAACGTTTGCATAAATAATCACTTTGTCCCTTATCATTTTTTTGAAATATTTTAGCCCCAACGTTTTATTTTAAAGCAAAATGTCTTTGGATGGATGAAAATCATTGCTAAAGTGGTATTACACATGGACATGTCACGTCTGTATGAGACATTGATAGTTAGTCAACTAACAATTTTCATCCAACCAGAGAACAATTTACTCCAAAATGAAACGTTGGGGCTAAAATGCTTCAAAAGAAAAGATAAGGAGTAAAAACGCCATTTATACAAATGTTGGGGAGTAATTTTATTATTATGCCTATTTATTACATACACAAATTTTTATTCTATTTGTACTTGTACTTGTTCATAAAAAGGTATATATACCCATATAAGGAAAAGAATCGAACCTGGTAAATACAGCACAGACTTTGATGGGTTTAATTATTGGTGGCCAGGTATGCTTTACATGCAATAAACAATAATTTTATATTTTTTGATAGTCTGGGTAGTACAAAAAAGTTATTGACAACGCACATACTCTGCAAATGTAATTATTTGAACCTAAAATTTTTAGGAAGATCAACACTCTTTTTAACCACTAAAATCGTTTAATGAGTTCAATGATTTTACAATTCTAAATAAAAAAAGAAACGATACATATATATTACTATGTAGATTTTCATAATCACCATACAGATAGAAATATGCTTCTGAATAGGCTGAGCGGGATCTTACACCTCTTCATCGAGCTGCAAAATTGTTAATAAATTCTCAGCTCCCAAACGGTGGTTTTCCCCAGTAGTAAACCACACATATCTAGATTACATATGCTTTCTGAATATATGTGTGTGTAAATTTTGGATGAAATGAAAATTGCAGGGATTGGGTGGAACTTTCTTCGAGAATAACATGTTACACTATACATCATACAGGAATACTTTCCCATTGTTGGCTCTTGGGAATACCGCAATCATGTTTGGCCTTCTAAACAAATATGTTTTGAATAAAAATAAGGATCATTTGGAGGATGATCGTGTAAAATCTAAGAATAATTAGCTGCATTTGGATTTATAGTCATGGTATTTATCCTTTGTAATTGGAAAAGGGCATCAATGAATGTTTGGCCTTCTAAATAAATTAATATAGTTTTGAATGAAAAAAGCGATCCTTTATGTTGTCCTTTACTTTTAATTTTTAAGTTTGAAAGCGTCTAATTTTTATTTATGTTTTTTTTTGGTGAATTAAAAAAGATCAATTTTATTCCATTCATTTTCGCTCTTAAAAAGCTTAAAAACCCCCGCTTCAAATTCCGATCAAAATTCTCAACGACAAATAACAATGATAGTTAGCCGCCGCTACTGAAATATTAGACCCCAAAATTTCTAGTTCATTTTTTTACATCTTGAACATTAATCAAATGTTCATTTCGCTAGACATACCCCAAATTCTACAAATTTAACGTAAAATCCCTCAACTTTCTCTTTCTAATCTCCCTAGACTCGATGTCAAATAACATCAGTTTCAAATTATTATTTTTTTCCAATTTCAACGCTTCATTTCACTATTTGAATGGCTTATAAAGGAGCTTGAGCCATTGAATATGAAAATAACTTCAATTCTCTCGACTTTGTTGGTATCATTCAATAAGAAAAGATAAACATCAAAGTCGTATCAGTCATAATCTTAACCCTAAACTCTAATTCTCTATCTGAAGGTAAGCCTGATAATTTCTCAAAAAAAAAATACTTACGAAAATTCTTCCACAGCACAAGTTTTTCAATTTTGGACTTGGCACCCTTAAGTTTACGATATAAAAAAGACTTCACAACCTTCACTCCTCATCGTTTGGGCTGGCATTATTGTAATCACATGAATGGTGCTTTCGTCCTTCTCATTCGATACTAAAACTTGAATACCATCTAACCCACAGAGTTTTAATGGCTCCGTTCAACACTTCAAACTCTCATCATGCTCAAAGCCTCAAATGATTAGTTCATGTCTATTATCACATCAAACTCTCGAAAGACTAATTCCATTAATTCAACCGAAAATAATTGACCTTAAATCTCAATCAGGCATCTATCATAAACTTTGTCTACTAATACGTCGGATCCCAACATATTGAATATACAGACCCCATATTAGAATCCTTAATATGAACATCTTTTTGTCAAACGATCTTATTATTCAAACCAAACACATTATTATAATATTATAATATAAATAATGTATGTAAATGCAAAATGAAGGATTAAATTAAACATGATACAAATTTAAAGGTAATAAATTAAAGATTAAATTATATATTTTGTACCTAAATTTTCAGTTTTGATCTATTTTAGTATCTAGACTTTCAATGTTTTCAAAATCATACCTAATATTTACTTTTTGTTTCACCCCACCATTAAAAACTTAACGCATTCCTAAACTTTTAATTTTTTTCGAAACCTAAATTTTAAACGGGTACTAAAATGAAACAAAAACTAAACTTTAGGTATGGTTTTGAAAATATTGAACGTTTAGATACTAAAACGGACAAAACAGATAGTTTAAGTTCTGAATGCATAATTTACCCTAAATTATATTGTGAAAAATAAATAAAGGACCAAAATGAATTAAATTAAAGATGTAGCAAATCATATTGCAAGCCACGTTCTTAGTCTTGCTACGTTTGATCTGATCTGATCACCGTCTAGCACAACAGAACCACCGCTAAGCTGTTTCTTTAGACGATTATACAAGTTTCTTAAACTCTACTTCCAGCCTCTGTATTTCACACAACACATCTCTCCCTCCACTTATGCATTTTTACCCCTCTTTTCTTAAAGATCAAAAAAAAAAAAGATATTGAATTTTCGTCAAAAATAAGATTTTTCAGAACTCTTGTTTTGTGAGGTTATCTTATAAATCTTGCTTTTTTTTTTTGTAGAAATGGGTTGATGGCTAATTGTTCAAATAAGGTAATCTGAGATTGGTGTTCTTTGAATCCAGGAATCAGCAAACATATTCTTGTGAACTTGATTGGGGTTGCAGAAGGATTTGAGACTTCTCAATTTCTTTAGGTAGATGCTTTGTTTTTGATTTCCCAATTTTTGGTTAGTATATATTAGGTTGTCAATGGAATCCAATACATTGGTTCTGGTACACGCTCAAAAAAGAAAAAAAAGAAAGAACCAATTTTTTATAGGTTTTAGATAAAGATTTGGAGATCGAGTTTTATTAGCTTATATCCTTAGTTGGAGTCGTTAGCAAATGTTTATAATTCGTTGCGTTATCTCTTTGATTTTTTGAAGATTTTGGTTGCCATTTAAAATTGCTGGACATTGTATTACTAGGTTTTATATGAATCATAAATAAGGTTTTGCTAGTGCTAGTTGGATGCATTGAAAAATTGGTGAACTTTTTATTGATGAAATCTTGATGTTTGAACTTATACACGGGTTTTAGATATCTCACAGTGGATTTCGTTTCAGTGGGTATGAATTGAAGGGAATCTTAGAAATCGCGGAGGCAAGCAAAAGTAAAAATATGCTTGAAGCTTTGGTAAGAGAAGGATCATTCAAATGGTTACTTAGCAAGCGAAGCTCCTTTGCAGAGGAAGTTGAGGATCTGCAGAACTCTCCATCTGCAGGAAGGAATTGGATACCTGGGCTGTCTCCAGTTGCAAATATCATTGTGCGCCGCTGCTCAAAGTAGGTTTCTTTTGCTTCTACTTTGCTGTTCCTTTCAGCAATGCATGTTATAAGTACATGAATTCTTTCTGCAACTTGTTCCGTAATCTGTTTCGAAGTTGTTTTGTTAAATTAGGTTTTCGTTTGCTTCTAATTCAATCTAGATGCAAATAAGAATAATGCAAATTGCATTTTGATTACATTATGTAGTTTCTTATGGATAACAAAAACAAAATGATGCAGAATCCTGGGAACCTCTTCAAATGAGCTTCTAGAGTGCTTCAATGCTGAGGCATCTGATTCTTTGAAGTCACAGCATGCGAGGAATTTTTTGGAATACTGTTGTTTCAGGGCTCTTGGTCTGTCTACCCGAGTAATGGGTTATCTAGCTGATAAAAAGTTTCGACGTCTTACATTTGACATGATGATTGCTTGGGAAGCCCCAGCAGCTGCCAGCCAATATCCAGTTGATGTAAGATACATAATTTAGGTCTTCTTTATTTTTTGAAGGAGAGGGGGAATAGGTTTTTCGATCATCTCGTGAACCTTCTGTCGTGTCTGTTGTCACATTTTCAACACTTTGATACTCAGTTCCCTGACCAAAGTCTCCATACTTTATAGAAGGCACCATATGTGTTGACATTACATGACACATATATGAGTGTGGAATGCGAGCTGAAACCTTATTTGACCATATGGACTCAGCTACATCACAGGAGTTAATTCACTGATCAAATACTAACAAAGATTAGAGATGCAGGAGATTGAGAATGTCGGCCTATGGGAGTGTTCTCTTACTAGAGGACCTGCATTTATATGAAGCCTAATTTCCTTAGATCCAAAAAATCCTAACCACGAATTAAACATAAAATTACACTAAAAAGTTATTAAGAATAGGAATGGAGTGGAGGTTTTACTTTTTCATTGTCTTTTGAGTAAATTTGTGACCATTATCTCTGAATATAGGTTGCTACAAACCTAATTATTATTCAACAGTTCCATCTTTCGTCCTTTAAAATTTGAAGTTAGTTTGCTTGGGAAGAATGTATGCTGTGATGTTGGGTTTGTTCAAGAGCTAATACTCAGATTATTCCTTTTAAATTAGTCTTAGCTAGTCCAAATTCAAATTCGATTAATATGATATAGTACTAATATATTTTTTAAGACAGTTGAGAATATCATATCCTGTATTTATATCCTGTTTACATTGTTTTTTAGTTTTTAGATGACTCCAGATGCCCAAAACTTTAAGGAAATGATGACACTGGTCTTTAGATACATCTATGCATCGGACTCCCATATCCAAGTTCATGTTATGTAAAATTTTTGAACGCACTTGAACCGCTTTCATGCACTTGGCTAATTGGTTTTCTTGTTCCATTTATTGTCCAATAAACCTTAGATTTGATGCTGACACTGTTTATGATAATTTTGTCTTTGCTTGCAGTTAGATGATGATCTCTCAGTTGGGGTGGAAGCCTTCACTCGAATAGCACCAGCAGTTCCAATCATTGCTAATGTGGTTATTTGTGAAAATCTTTTCAATGTTCTTACATCTTCAACAACTGGTCGACTTCATTTCTCTGTCTATGATAAGTACCTAAATGGACTAGAAAGGTAAGGGTTTACTGTCTGAGTTTTTGTTTTGGTCCAATTGTGTTTCTACTGTAAAATTTTACTGTTCAAATGAAAGTTCTATTCTTGGCTCATATCCCTTAAAGGTTTAAATACTTAACAATCTAGAAGGATATATATATCCAACCTAGAGGGACCACATAAAAAGGTTTTGAATTGATATTCTTTTGAAGTACAGTTTGTACAGTAAAGCTACAGGAATAAGTGCAGAATATTTCGCAAGGAAGTTGCAGATTTTTGAAGGGATTTGAAAATTATATGCAACTTCTCAATTGTTCTAAGGTGCACTAACCAAAAAGATCGATTTGGTGTAAAATCAAATCTAGTTCACACAAGATTTTGGGGCATTTCTTCTGCTGGGAGTTGCTAAGTGAGAAATTTTGTTCATAGTTTTCGTCCTAAATCATGCAGGTCAATGTTACAGATGGGGAGGGACATTTATTTTTCATTATTAAAATGAACTCTCTTTAAGGATAGAGGTTAGGAAATGTGAATTATTACTGATAAAGTAGATGAACTTGGGTTGAACTTGAAGTTTAAAGTGCATTATATAGTTTATTCTTGGTTAAAATAATTTGTTTCACTACATGATAGTCAAAGTGATGTGCTGTGTCATTTCTCCATAAATTACCTGGTTAATCTCTTTCTTATGGCTTTTTACTGAATAAAATTGATGGCTAATCTGCTATCTTATCTCGAACTTTTGGGTAAACTTCACCTCAATATAATTGAAACTTGAATGCCATAGTACTTGATAATACTTCTTATGCTTTCTTAAGTATTTGATATTATATCAATTGACAACAAACCTTAAATTTAGGATTGTGCTATAAAATCCTTATCATTTGCCTTTTCATTTGATGATTCTTTTAAAAAAGTGAAACATATAGGTCTACAAATAACTTGGCCTGTCTACAATTCTAAAATTCAACCAAAACCTATTGGTACTAGTATGTCAGTTATATGATATGCAAAGTTCTCAGAACCATAGTATAATTTTCTTACCCTGTATTATCTATTAACCATCTTGTTTATTTGGTTGCTCGCTACACCCCTCTTCAATTTTTAGTTTTGAGTTTGTCCACAGAAGTTTTGTAGTATATCAGAGGCTTAGTAATTTGTGGTAGGATCTCTATTTAGTAGATTTGCACATCTAAATATGGTATTCTGAAATTTATTCTATAGAGTGATAAAAAGGATGAAGAGCCAAATGGAGTCCTCTCTTCTGTATTCTTTTCGAGCATCAAGTGGAGAAAAGATACTTGAGGTGGATGGGACAGTCACAACTCAACCAGTTCTTGAACATGTTGGAATGTCAACATGGCCAGGTAAGTTGATTGGATGGCAAACATTGTATTTAATAGAATTTGATATCTTTGTTCATTGGTGATAATTATTTCTGCAGCAATATTTTTTCCTTCCCTCATTTTCCTTGATTCTCCTACTTTATTTTTGTCAATTGCGTGCTCTGAGGTTGTTCATGCATGTTTGCAGGTCGACTAATACTGACTGATCACGCATTGTACTTTGAAGCCCTTAAAGTTGTATCTTATGATAAACCTAAAAGATATGATTTGTCGAATGATCTAAAACAAATTGTTAAACCTGAGTTGACTGGACCATGGGGTACTCGGCTTTTTGACAAGGCAGTGTTGTACAAATCAATTTCCTTGTAAGGCATGGTGCAGATTTATTTCATTTTTTCCTTGTAACTCTGTCCAATAGATTATGTGATCTTATGGTGTTAAATCAATCTTGAATTTTATATCTTAACATAATGCTTGTCCAAGGATATAATTATTGATCAATTGTTTACTGTGTTTCTCTTTAGATCCGAACCAGTTGTTATAGAGTTACCTGAGCTTAAAGGGCACACTCGGCGTGATTACTGGCTAGCAATAATCCGGGAAATTTTATATGTTCACAAATTTATAAACAAGTACCATATAAAGGGAGTTGAAAAGGATGATGCACTTTCAAAAGCTATTCTTGGAATTTTACGTGTGCAAGTCATTCAAGAAATAAGTTCCTCAAACTCTGTTCAGTTTGAGTCTCTTCTCATGTTTAACCTTTGTGATCAATTACCTGGGGGAGATTTGATATTGGAGACTCTCGCAAAAATCTCAAATTCTAGGAAATTAGAACAGGGTAGTAATAAAGTGGCTGGAGCTGGCATGCACTCAATCTCAGCCTTGGCAATGGTTTCAAACTTAGGTTTTGTGTTTGGTTCAAGTTCCAGTAGTCAAAGTGAGGATGGGCTTCTTGTTGGTGAAATAGTTGTGGGTGAGATGAGCTTATTGGAGAGAGCAGTTAAGGAATCTAGTGAAAACTATAAAGAGGTGGTGCAAGCACAAGAAACAGTCGATGGGGTTAAAGTAGATGGTATTGACACCAATTTAGCTGTTATGAAGGTATTTGCTTTAGAATTTACAAAATATCAAACCTCGTTCCTTTTCATCAGTTAACTGAAAAAAAGTTTGTTAAATATAATAAGTTTGATTTACTTTCCTTATTTATTGAATTTTGAATACCAAGTAAAATGTAGTTGATGGACATCATGAATGCATCATGCGCACGTATGTCTGTTAGTGATGCCATCAAATATAAAATCCAGTGTTTAGTTGGCAAAGTGATATAGCTTGAATTGCATTTTTTTGGCACTCTTTTCTACTTGCAGGAGTTACTATTTCCAGTGACAGAAGTTGGGAAGCAGCTTCTTTCCATGGTATATTGGGATGATCCTCCAAAGTCGTTAATGTTCTGTTTTCTTTTCACGTTCATAATTTTCAGGTAAGGTAAATTGAATAAGATCATTCTATTTTTTTTTATTATTAATTGTTCTGTGAACATGTAGCAAATGGAATACATTTTGGTGGTATAATGCCTGGTTATTCCAACTGATATTGACATCATTTTGTAAAGAACCTAGCCGCTGAATATGTGTAGATTTTATTTAGGGTAAGCATCCAAATGTTATCTTTTGGGATGTATGCTGTTTAAGGCTTAGAATCATCAACTTTGGCTCATTTTTTATTTTTATGTTTAATTTTAAGGGGAATCTTGAATCAAGCTGATGTAGCCTATCCTATAAAAAAAAAGCTGATGTAGCCTAGACTAGATGCTTCATAGAAAAACAGTCAAAGATATTGTATTGGACATGAAGTACAATGTTTTTAGAATAATTTTTTGGTGTTTATCTCCTTGTTTCTTTACTGACATGTTTTATTATTTCTGCTCCTTTGGAGTGCATGCTTTTCCCATAATGGCTTTAATGATTGAATTCTTCCATCTTCATTTTTTTTGGTCAACAATCCGTAGATACGTTGGTGTAGTGACAATGACGTATAGAAGTCAATACAAGTAATTTGATTCCTAGATTTCTTAGCTTATATACTCTGCTGAGTTGGGGTGATGTGTTAGAAATGATTACAATGGTTGAAGGGTTTGTGTGAAAGAAAACCGAACTAAAGATGAAAAAAAAGTAAATCTCTGCTCTATCATAAGGTAAAAGTTCATAATCTAGCATTTCCATGTATACCTATTGGAGAATGGGACAGTCAACTACCAGGTTCATCTCGAATGCACCTTCACCTGGAATGTGCATATTCTAAAGGCGCCACATGGCCTTTTTTTGTATATCTGAAGATAAATAATCCCAAGTTAAGCTGGAGTAGTTCTACTGATATCTAAGAGCCAAGTTTTGTAAATGTTTGATCAAATACTGTTAGCTAGTCAAAAGAAAATGTTTGATTGGACATTAGTTGATCTAATAGAAAACATTTTACCATAGCTCTCTAGAGTCTCCTTGCATGATCTCAATGACAGTCATTTGTTGTCCATTTCAGGGGATGGCTGGCTTATGTCTTTGCATTGATGACACTGTTTTTCTCTATCTTTATGGTTCTTACTCGACTTTTCAATCAAGGCAGGCCCGTGGATGAAATTAAGATAATAGCACCTCTACCTATGAACACAATGGATCAGCTTTTGGCTGTTCAGAACGCAATATCTCAAGTCGAACAGCTTATCCAAGATGGAAACATAGTTCTTCTCAAGTTTCGTGCCCTGTTGCTGTCCATTTTCCCAAAGGTTCTACTCCGTCCTTTTCACCATATTAGAATCCGTCAGTCTATAAACTGGTTTACAATTCATGTCACCGTCTCAGATTTTTCAATTTACAGAATCATGTAGAACTGATTTAGACTGATTTTTATTTCTTGTCTGCCTGACTTGGGGTATGATGTTAATTTACTAGGCAAGCGAGAAATTTGCGGCCACTCTTCTGTTTGCAGCTTTGATACTGGCTTTAGTGCCCGGGAAAGTACATGTTGCTACTGATATTTCTGGAGACATTTACGAGATACTCGCCGCCGAGGAAGGCGAGCACGGAAAGATGGATGAGGAGATTGAGAGAATGGTGGTTCAGCATCCCAGCAGCTCCGGTGGTACTTGAAATAGACAAGGAAGATAAGAAGAGAAAGTGATAGTATGTTAATTTTGTTGTTTTTTAGTTTTAACTGTACATAATTTCTGCTCCTGTATGTAAAGTAATGATGATATATAAGAACATTAGAAGTTAATAGCTCACATAATTTTAAACACAAAAGGAGAATAATGATAGTTGTTTTCGGTTTGTTTAGTGTTGGTCTTATATTTTTTGTTTTTATTTGCAAGTTCAAGGAAAATGGAGAAATTATGTTAATAGTCCTTAAACCTTTTAGGCATCACAGTTTGAACACTAAAATTATTTAATTTATTCTTTTAATTTACGCAAGTTTGCTTGTGAATTTTTCCGTCTTATGTTAGTTGTGTTTGTTGTTAAATGCGTTGTATATTTGTCAGTAATAGTGGTATAAATTAATTTCCCTTTTCTCAAAATTTCCCCATAATTTTCAATTTAAATTTGCTAAAGCCAAAAAGGACCGACGCCGAAAAAGATCATACATCATCAACGTGTGATGAAGTGTCATCAACGCTGAAAGAGATTTTCTGCTATGGAGTGAGGCTCATGACCTGCAAAAGTATATACTTTAGCGCTTATGGAATAATACAAGTTTGGATAATCGCGCATGAATCAAACTTCTTCGATGATAGAGTATTTTATATTTATTTTTATCATTTATACAATAAGTTTAATATACTTTTAGGTGTTTAAACTATATATGAAATTGACTTTTGGTGCTTACAGAATTTTTTGTTAAAAATATATGTCTAACATTTTGTAACATCCCAAACTACGGGTTAGTGACCAAATTGTAAAACTTCAGAATTTGGTGATTAAAATAGAATAATTGAATAGTTCAAGGACTTATTTGGAAATATTTTATGAAGGATTTTTAGTAATTATTAAATGAATTAAAAGGTAAAATGATCATTTGACAAGAAAGATTTTTTTCCCTTTATAAGATAAGGAAATCACGTGGAAAAGAGAAAAACGGAGGATTTCTCCAGAGTTTTCTTCTTCCTTCGTTCGTGAAAGCCAGACCAAAGGTGAGCTTCTTTGTTAGTTGATTATTTGTTGAATTTAAGGTTGGTTTATGATCCTTAGGTGATACTTAAGCTTAAAGAAAGCTTAAGTTGTCTTATAATCAAAAGATAAAGAAGTTATAAGAGATTAAAGAGAATGAATTTCTAAATAAATTTATGAAAAAGAGTTAAAAAATAAAGTTTGAGTCTGGAATTGACTTGTCATCAACTTAATTAAGAGATAAGAAGTGATAGAATTGAATTTAGAACATAGTGAAAATTTGGTATGATTATTGATTTCCATATGAAGGATTGGATTTCGAGGTTAAGGATGTATTGAATGAGTATAATTAGTTTTAGTATGTGTACTTAAGTTAAGAATATGAAAAGGAATGAAACATGAAGAATTGAAGTTGAAAAGAATGAATTTTCGGGCTTAAAATGTGATTATTGGTCAAAGGGTATCGATACCCATTCAAGAGGTACTGATACCTCAAGAGTAAAATTCAGGAAGATATTCAAAGGGTACCAATACCTTGAGGGTGGTACTGATACCCCCCTGAAACAAAAATTTTCGGATGTAATTTGTGTACTGATATATAGATAGTGTACCGATACATTAGTTAAGGGATGTACCGATACCCTATAGAAGGTACCGATACCTACGTTAAACAAGAAATGAAATTAGCATTTCCTTTAATTAAGAAATGAAATGTTAGAATATGCCATTTGGATACTGATATGTATCGATGTATGATTATGTAGATATTAAACGTAACTCTGTTCCGGAACAATCGAAGAATAAGAATCGAGATAGAGAACAAGAGTTTGATATTGGCAAGTAACTAAGGTGAGTGCATATTAGTAGTATATGATGTCTAATGGAAATAAGACTTGCGACAAGTCTACTTCCGATAGTAAAATGCATGAATTCATAATAGAAGAATAGGATTCTGATGATTTATAAGTGTGCATAAGTATATGTGTTGACATGTTGTTGTGTATGTTATATAATTGTTGTGAATATATGTTATGTGAGTATGATATAAATCAGATGAAAATGAATTATATGAGAACATGTATATATGAATGAGCTATGTAACTAGGTGAATATATGAAAATATGATCATGAGATATGTGACAAGAAGTGATGTGAGTAAATGAGTAAGAGATATAAGCTATGTGATATATGTGATATGTGACCTTATGAAAACAAGAACAAGTGATATGTAATACATGATAAGAAGGTATGAGATTTTATAAGAGTGTTACATGATATGTGATAAGAGCTATGAGTTATATGCCTATGTGAGATAAATATGAGAATGTGTGAATAACATAATGAAAATGCCTATGTTATGTGATATGAGAGCAAGGGGTATAGTTGGTATTCCAAGAGTCGAGGGTTTCTATGTGGTCCTTCGGGACATAGTGGTCCTTCGGGACAAATTCTACGCGCCCCTAGTGGGAATTATACGAGCTGTGGTGACAACATATGTGCACAACCTCTATGTACTCACATACCTTAAGTTCTCAGAAGTATACATGGGCTTTAAAGAGAATCAATAAATCAAGTGGTATGATATTATGTGTGTGTTTTGTGAAATGACATATATGTTCAATGATGTGTATAAAAATGTTAAGTATATGTTCATACGATAAAAGGAATTAGTGATAATATAAATAAACTTGATATGATAATATGTTTGTTTCCTTGTGAAGTGATATGTGTGATATATAATAGTTAAAAAGATTAAGTGTAATAATAGAAAACTAAAAAGGTGTGAATGAATATAATATTGTTAATGAAATGAGGTTATTGATGAAAATGACCAAAATCTGTATATGTGTATATTGATCTTATGTAACGTTATATTGTTTTGTGTGATAGCATTGTATGATATGTTCATGCATGATTAAGTGATTAGAGTTTCCTTTATAAGTTAATACCTCACTAAGTCATCGACTTAGCGTGTGATTGTTTCATTAATAGGTTTCAAGAAGGTTAAGAAGCAAAGAGGAGCAAGACATGTCAGATTCTCCTTTCCAAAGATCAGATCAGAAATGTATTTAAATATATGTATTTTGTCACATAGAATGTAGTTGGCATGTAGTTTATTGAATGTGACACCTCAGATTCGTATCCGGGTCGGATACAAGTTGGGGGTGTTACATTTAATGATATCAGAGCTAAGGTATGCCGATTCTAGGCTTAAACCAAAGTTAAACGAGTTTTAAAATGGTATACATGCCAACATAAAGTGAAAAAAATAATTTGATAATGTAAGGAGTGTACTGTCTTGCTAATAGAATTAAATTGATACGTTATAATAGAAGTATGATAATGAAAGTTTCGAAAGAAGCGAGAGGTGATAAACTTGATGGTGATAGCAATTCACCTACTCTGGCCAGGCAGGATGAAGAGCGGACACCTCAGGAAATGCTTTAGAAAAGCAAAGGGTTGAGTTAATCGATCGATGGAATAGGCCAAGAGGGGGTGAATTGACAATAAAAATTTTGGTGGAAGCTTTTGCAAAAAATTGAAAGTAATTGCACAGCGATTTACAGTGGTTCGACTTTATCAACCAAGTCTACGTCCACTACCTTAGCTATCCACACTAAGGATTTTCCAACAAAATCACTAATTTGTTCTTTCTTTTGAGGCCAAAGAGATAACCTTACAACTCCCTCAAGAATATACCCCAATTCTTGAGAACACTCTTTTCTCAAAGAGAAGATTACAAATTTGCAAACTTACAAGAAAAACCTCACAAGACAAATATGTTTGCACAATTCTAGAACAAAGAAAGAACACTCAAGAATAAATACAATTGAGCACAATAAGTGTTCTTGAAAGCAAAATGAATATTGAATGAAAAATAGGCTTGAAATGCTCAAACTTGAGGTTTGATGCTTTCTCTTTGATTCTCTCTTGATTCTAGTTGCTTGTTGTTCCTTGTTTTTGATCAATGGCTTCTAAGCTTGTTTAAATACACCTTCAAATGATTCTAAACGATGGGGATGATTAGTGGAGTCAATATAGCCGTTTAAGTGTGAAAACAATTAATAAAATCAGTTGGGAGCGTCAGTGCATCGATGCATACCCATGGTGCATCGGTGTATCGGTGCAAAATTCAAATATTTTGACCGTTGGATCCTTAGTGCATCGGTGCACTAAGAGTGCACCGATGCATGAAATGCATTCGATGTTTTGAAAAAGCTTGAGTGCATCGATGCATGGTCTTGTGCATCGATGCATAAAATGCATTCGATGTTCAATTAATTCCATGGTACATCGATTCATGGATTGGTGCATCGGTGCATCACTTTGAAAATTTGATTTTAGGCTTGATTTTGGTTCAAAATACTTTGTGAAAATTGTTTCAAAAATAGTTTAAGTATAAAACACAATTTTACACATTTAGTAAGGTTTGAAATTGATCTTAAAAGACTTGGAGTAATAATTTGATATTCGATTAATTAAATCAAATATACTTAGAAAATCATTTGTAAAATCTTAAAATTCATTTAAATTTAATTTGTTATATCGAAACACAAAAATGTTTTCAACAATCTCCCCCTTTTTGATATAAAAAAACATTTGTGTTATTTTAAGATTTTCTAAAAATTTGAAATCAATTTTGAAAAATTACTCCCCCTTACTATAACACTTCTCCCCTTTAAAACTTTTAACACTTAACACTTCTCCCCCTTTTTGTTAAATCAAAAAGACTTTAAAATGTTTTTAAACAAGGTTTTGAAAGACATAGCCAATTGATTATAAGTAAATATAACTTAAGCTGCTAATATCACAATCAAAAGAGAGATTAGTCATTAGTTCTATAATCAAATGTGAAATGGCGCATTGGTCATAATGCAACTAAGATGTCAATAATGCAAAAATTAATAAACATGAAGCTCATAAAGATCAAACCAAACAATTCAAACATCCAACAATCAAAGAAAGATAATCCAAAATGTTTTAACAATTTAAATTCAAGTTCAAACCCAAAAACAATCAAAGCAAGATAAGTCTATTCATCCATCGAAGGATCGGGAGGACGGTTTTGGTTTGACTGACTCGAATATGACCTAGGTCGTTTAG